TGCCCCCGGACTCGTCTCCTGCACGCTGACTGAGGGTGTACGGGTGAAACCCGGCCCTGAGGGACAGTTCGTGCCAGTGTTTCGTGTAGTTCAGCCTGGAGGTATGTTTGGGTTCGATTCTGAAGGTAACGCGGTTGATTCGCTGGAAAAGGGTGCCGCGTGTGCTTGTCGGTGCCTGGTGCTGCCGATATGACTGCTTAGGTGCTGTTGCGATATAAACCTGACGCTACGGAAGTTGACTAGCCAAACCTCTCGGGGGGGCGCAGAGGGGTCTTGCAGTGAATCAAGAACAATGATTCCTACACCACACGACCTTTTCCCAGTCAAGAGAGAGGTGGTTTTACACCCACCGGATGGAGCAGAACTCTTGGCAACTGTCGATTAACGAAGATCCCCCTTCCCCTCCGGACTTGCCATCCTAAACACGACGACGACGACGTCGACGACTACCCGCACTTGGCAGATACACCACGTGCCATGTCGAGAGCGCCACTTCCAAGCGGTGCCAGCCTTCTACACCAACTTCGGAGGTCGCAAGAATACAGGTAGGTGTGTCAAGAAGTCACCGGCCCCTACAAGCCTCGTGTGATGCGTCAAAACGAAGATTCGTGGTGATGATGGGGACCTGAAAGAATGGCGGGCCAAAAGCAGCACAATTAATAAAATGTGTTTAGGGTGGATCGTTTTGCACTTGTATGGCTCTCAACTCTATCGTTTTAGAACCTAAAAGTGCAACTTTACGTATGTTGGTCAGACAAGTTGACGTCTCCGGTGCCAATCGCATCTCGATGATGGTCGGTGCCAACGTTTCACCATACAGCAGTACTTCACATCACCGGGGCGCGTCATGATCGTCTAAACCCTACAAGCTCCCGATTGACGTTTATGCAGAACGGAACTTTACGGTACTTCATGCATATGCACATTCAACATAGGCACATAAAATCTGATTAACCTGTATGCCCTTAAGTGACATGAACATCATTGTACATCGTCGCGGGATGCACCCACAGAAGTTAAAGCTAATTTGGGCATGTAATGATTCTCCTGTAGATCGATATCACCGGAAATGCCTGGACACGATGAGACACGATTTCACGATGGACACGATTCCACACGCCGACGTACACCCCAGACTTCCTCGGCCCTCTTTTTCCGATCAGATGCTCAGGAGCTCTTGGTATCAGGACTGGTTTAATGCTGTCGATAAGACCGGTTCCATATTCTACAACAGGTAAATAGTTGATTATATACGGTTTCGTCACCTTGGAAGACGTACAGAAGACGACGAACCATGGTTGAAATCAGAGGTGCACTTGTTTGTGTATCATGCTACCACATCCAACCTACTCTACTCGAGCCAGGTCCTAAAAACAGAAACGATAAACAAACGGGGTCGGTAGCAAAACATTTGCTGGGACAATTTCCGCGCTTGAGTTGTACGATGCGCAATGCCGTGTTCGAGCGAGTTTCGAGATGGCCGCATTCCAAACACGCGTCATGAATATGAGTGACATGCCCGGAAAATTGCTTCGGCACGACGCACGATCGAACACAACAACACCACCAACAATCCCAACACTGAATGTCAATGTTCCGGCGACCGTTTCGTGTGGGCGTGGCGTCTCCTCTGACAGGTGGGGAGATGCCCCCATCCGCTTCCTTGGGCTGGCCATGCACCTTCCCGCCGACAAGATTCTGGAAGTTCAAGGATGTCGCCATGATTGAACAGAGAGTAGGGAAGGACGGGAGCTCCAGGGTCAAGGCGATTCATAGGGCGGGAATTTTACTGTCGTATGTTGACTGGTGGTGGGCTGACTCTATTAGATTTTGAGTCGTTCGTGAAGTTGGCTAGACAAGCACGGCTGCACGCGCAGACAGAAGTAAGTGCCGTTTCGTGTCTCCCTCCGATTTAGCCGATTTAGCCTGCTTGTGCAAAGCAGGGGTAGACTATACCTAGTTTGTGTTTAATCCTTCCCGCCGACCCCCCCCCCCCCCGCCCCTCCCCACATGCAAGGTACAGGTACAAGGAGATGCTTGAGGCATGGCATAGCCCGGAGAAAACGCCAGTTAGACTGGGGCATAGGAAGTGGGCTGAAAAGGTGGCAAGTGATGTCGATAGGATATATAGTACAAGGGAGAAACATTTTTTAGCCACGTTTGGTACAGTAGGAAGGGACGATTGGCCATCATCGGTGATCGGTCCTGGGGGAACAACGCTCCGTCCTCTCGAGGACGCGTAGTCAATGGTCTAAGCGCTAAGGCGTGCAAAACATAAGAAGAGTACGCCCCCCTCCCCATGCACCCATTCACACAAAGTTAACGGCCCAGGCCGCCAATGAAAATCTTGAGTTTGAAACGGGATCGATTTTTGGGACCTCGTCGCGCCCCCCTCAACTTACCCTACGGAAACAGCTGGTGAAGCCTATTTGCTATGTTGAAAGCCTTTCTCTTACTTGCACCACCCGTCCTGCCGCGAGAGCTTGAGGACTACTGTACGTGCCAACAACACTAGTAATTTGCTTTGAGGTGGGCGTATTGACCACATTTTCGCCCTGGGGTCGCAGTTGGTACGCCGCCAACATAATGTTGCTTGTTCATCGATGAAAGAAAGAAAGCAAATGCCAGCCCGTTGCTGTAGGGTCCAAAATGTTTACGAACCAACCCACTGTATGTCCTTGGAGAATGATCTCGGGGGAGCTCCGGAGACATAGAGGAATAAAGATCACACCATCAATCCCGCGTACTGTTCGGCGTGTGCGCGTTCGTGTGCGGCTGGTGATACGTATCTACACGAACATGTCGCTTCTGTTTCGTTGACGCATCAGGGAAAAAACCGCCAATAACCGCCGAGGTTTCATTCAGTGCCATCCAACATTTATTTGCCTTACGTGGATGACATACATTTGCCTGCGTGGCATATTCGCTGCGCTGGAGTCCGTCATTTTCTCAGGGGGATCAAAAGAAAGCCTGCCGCCTTGTTGCATGTTTACGGTAAAAGTAAATGCGTGCTGTATTCTTCTAGGCCTCGTCGCACACACGTGTGCTTATTGAGATGAAATTGCAAGAAAACTCGAAGGATTCGGATCAATTGGGTGTGACGTCTTTACCGTCGTCGCTGTTTGCTCTTGCCTCCGAAGAACGTTTGCGTCTTGACATATGTTCACCAATGTTGGGGCCCATTTAACCTCCTTTTGGTACAAGAATGGGCCTCATCCCAAACCACATCATCCCAGGGACGCCCAACCGATCATGCGACGCTAATTTACAAGGAACCTCTTCCGAGAGTTCTCTAAGCCGCGACCAAAACGCGACCGCTAGGCCGGTCGCCTGTTTACCCGTCATCCGTGCTGGAGGCAGATCAATCAATCTACCCGCCACATGTTGCAAATGCAAGAAATACAACCGTCCAAAGCTTCTCCTCCGTGGTTTTGTGACGGTACAATGGCAGCTCACCTTACAGGGCAACTATCAAAACCGAAATTGTGCTTCAGCCGGGGGTGTTGGAATTGTCTCTCCGTTCTATCCTGCTTGATACTGTTGCTTAAGCTTCCGTGCCAACCAAAAGGTAGCATCAACAGAGTGGCGCACCTTTCCCTATGTTCCTTCACTACATAAGATCAATTCCCCAAGTCCCAAGTACCTCCCTCTCTCTACATACGAAGTTATTACATTGGTAATAGCTGCTTACCATGTATGTCCGGTGAGAGGGTACCACGAGCCCGAATACACGAACGACAGGTCAACTTTTATTTTTCAGTCAACGAAGTCTATCTTGAAACTAAAACACAAAACAAAATGTTGATTTGTGTAACCTTCACAGCAGTATACACAAACGGAACACTTCGGCATGAAGTACGGCAAGAGTTGATTTGACTGCCCTGTCTACTCGTCGTCGTCGTCGTCCTCCTCCTCCTCCTCTTCTTCTTCCTCCTCCTCCTCCACCTCCTCCCCCTCTTCCTCTTCTTCCTCCTCCCCCTCGCCGACTTCAATCTCGACGTCAATGTGGACATCAATCTCTGCTCCTTCCTCCTCCTCTTCTTCCTCTTCCTCCTCCTCATCCGAATCGGATCCGCCCATCTTCTTGACCTTTCCGCCGAACCGGAGGCCGCCTTTCTTCTTCTTCTTCATGTTCACCTTGTAGTAGTCGCTGCAGCGAACAGAACAAAGCGTCGCGTCGCACAGGGGGTTAGGCAGGTGTGATGGGTGCATATGCCCCAATGCCTTGGAATTTATTTATTGTGCACAGTCGTCGTGGTCTGACGTAAACGCTAAGCCGTATGACGAGAGCACGGGCAAGGGCGTCCAAAAAAAAAAAACGTTATTCGGTTTGCCTCATTTCACCGTTTTTGAAGAAACGCTGAGGTAACGACGGGGGGGCAGACGCCGTACACCCGAGCCAGCTAGCTGCGGTCTTAAACAACCGCGACACGACGGACACACCCATTTCCGCATCCTCTCCCTTCAGCCTAATGAGACCTAAGACGACCCCCTGTACCATCTCGTGTCGGGGGGGGATGGCTCGCGGGCTCAAGTAATTGGAGACTGAATACTGGGGGAATCTGTTTTGCGTTGTTCTCGTTTTGGAAGAAGTCAACGGTCTATGCACGTGCATCCGCATGTGGTGTTTTTTCCGACGAGGACTGCATTTTTTTTGGGGGGGGAGTCTGCTATGACGCATTGCGTACTACTGACCTCCCTTTCTCCCTCCGTTACAGCTCAAATAGACAAAATGATGAGCGATCCCTTTCGGCAAAGAAAGGTCGATATACCCTGCCGGCAGAGACAGCAGGTGGTCGAAATAGGGGCTACTTGTTGTGAGGTAGCGATCGTTCTGGACTAAAACAAATGCGCCACAATGCCCGTCGGTTGTAGAATCACCTGAGCATTCATTCGAATACTTGATGATGCCCGGACGTTTTTAATTCGTTGTATTGCTTCAGTGACAGTTTTTTTTTCGTTGTATTATTTAATTCACAGGTCAACAACCTGGCGCCCGCATGCCGATGATGGCCATGCCCGGGGCCGCGGCCGGGGGATCGCCGGCGATGACGGAGCTCGGCAAGGGTCTGGACTTCATGATGAAGCGCTTGACCACGCGCCCGGTCGTGAAGCCGAGGCCTCAAGGGTAAGTGCGCGGTTCATGGCTTCCTTCCTCCGCACTCGAGACTGCTGTCTGTCTGTCTTTTCCCTTGCTGAACGACGCGAACACAAACCGACAGGTTCACTCACTCAACAGTGCCTCCGTTATGTCTGCAAGCTTGCGTAGAACACAAGCAAGAGCCAGTGACGGCTGGCCTCGACTGCACGTGCTGCGCAAAATTGCAACCCAAGCAAACCCCAAAGAAGAGGGCAGGCGTTGTGGAAGAGAACGGTTTTTGGATAGATCAATGCAAATGCGCGTCGTCCCCGTTACGCCGTTGGGATTTCGAAACACTCGCGGGGAATAGCGTGTTGCCCGCATGGTTTCAACGGTCTCAAGCACAAGCGTGCGTACGATTTACAGCGTGTGGGCGGCGGCGGCGGCGGTGTCAATGCTGTCTTCTGAGCTGTGCCCAAACACATGTCATATTTCTTCCAAACAAATTTGAGTTACGGTTCTTTCTCCGGCGTGTCTTTCGTTTCGTTCACCGTCAGCGGCACCTCCCCTCCTCAACAACAAAAATCTCGGTTTTGTCTTAACACGATTCGGACGGAAGCGTGCCCACCATTTTCCAAGATCGATCAATAGCGGCTTGCCTCGGGCAACCGTGCTGCTCTCCTAGGAGATGCTCGGTGTGTTTTTGCTAGGTGGTGTAGAGGGCACAGACGCGATGGAGATCAGGTTCCAAGCTCAAGTTGAACACTGCTGTCACACAACTTGATTGAGTGGTAACTGTTTCTTATTTTCTGTTCTGTGGCTGTGTGTCCGCAGATACGTCGGCCTGGACGGGGGCAGCTTCACAAACGTGGGGGGCTTCACCGAAGGAGGCCTGAAGGCGCCCAAGATTCAGAAGCCGAAGAAGGAGGAAGAGTCGTCGTCGATCGGAGACAAGGCCGGCAAAGCTTTCGTTAAGGGCTAACAAAGCGGGTTAACGTTAAGCTGCGGTGGGCCGACGGAGTTGAAGGGAGAAAAACTCTACTTGTACCATTTCTGCCTACATACCTCGCTGATGTCCCTGCATCATGGCTTGCCCCTGCACCATCATGGCGAGCGGGATCTGGGGAGGGAGTTGGGTCCCGGGGGGTATGCCGAACATGGTGGGGTCGAAAGCGGCCGGCGCTGGTGCTGGTGCTGTCGGTGATGCAGGCACCGCCGCCGGCTGTTGTGTATTCAACGCCTCGGTACTGGGAGGGGCAGCAGGATGAATCGACCGAGTATTAGGAATCGACTACGAGCCCTTGGTGGGACGAACGCATCATGTTTAATGTAGCGAGGATGTGGGTGTAAAACGTCTTCAATGGCAAAAAATACGACGACAGCAGCATCAACAACGGCAGAAAAATACGCACGAGAAAATTATCACGAAAACGAAAGAAAAAACTTTCACAACAACTCTCGTTGACTGCCCTTGTTCCTATAGGTCAACACTGGTTTCGCTGGTTTGTGATTGGCCGAAATTCCTTGGGCGTTGGGCGAAAGACATCATTTACCCGAATTTTCCTGTTGGTCAACATTGACGCTTTGGTTGTTGTGGTTGTTGTTGTCCTTCACACGAGAAACCGTTCCGGTCTCTGCGCAGTACCGCCTATCATCCGTACCGGTCCAACTGTGTTGTCTTCACACGAGAAACCGTTCCGGTCTCTGCTCAGTACCGCCTGCCATCCGTACCGGTCCAACTGATGCAGACGCCTTCCGCGGCAAACAGGCCAGCCACCCAACAATGGCACACACTTCTAGAGAAGCACAAAATATTGAGAAAGGCAACAAATATGGACCCAGAAAAAATAACGCCACTACAGTGCAATGTTTACACACTTTCCGACGGACGCACGCCGAGGCCGCAGGGGGGGAAGGCAAGCCCTCTCCCGCTGGCGTGGCTTGGGCCCTGATGCCGCTGCTACTGCTGCGGCCTTTATGAGGGCGTTGTTGTCGGCCTGGGCGAGCACCGGGCGGTCCCAAGAGGTGGTATTGTCTGCGTGGTTGCGATAGTAAGCCTTGCCTTCGGGCGCGATGGCCTCGCTCCACCCTGGGTTGTGTGTTCGTTTTCAGAATGTCAGAGAAACGCGTCAAGAGACCGGGAGAAGAACGCCATCGAAATGAGACTGAGTTTCGGCAGGTTGCTTTTTTTCTGTTGGTTGTGTTGACGATAATAGGAAGTTTTGCCGCCAAGAAGAAGAAAGACGCAAATTATATCGGGCCTGGACCGGAAACGGCTAAGTGAGTGTATGCCTATGTCGTGAGGACGGGAGTTGGCGGAGTGTTTCTTGCCGTGTGTCCCCACCGCTCGATCCTCGTCGTAAAACTGGTTCGCGAATAGTGGTGTCGTGCGACAGGCGCCGGCAAGGTCGCAAGGGGGGACATCAGTGCTCGGCTCGTCAAGGTTGTGCGCGCTAAAACGCCACATAGACTCTCGCGTCGTTGCCGTAGGAGCTGGCACTTTGAGGTGTAGAATGCACTGTCACGCCATTGTTGAAAACGCACGTAAGCTATACTCTTACCTCTCCCCCCCCCCCGTCTTTGCCTCTCTCTCTCCCCTTTCACCTTCCCCGCCGGTCCATCAATCTACCGCTGTATCATTATCATTGCCAGAAAAAGAATGCAATGTAAAAACCAAAACCTAAAACGCAAGGTCAAAGTTGCGGCGGAACGAGAGAGGATTGCACTAGACTATATCGGATGCAGGGGGTGGTGATGGAGCGTTCGGGTAGGTAGGACCGGCACGCCGAAACACGTCGTTGGTTTGTTAAGTATGTAGCTTACCAGGGGGAAGAGGCTGCTGTGTCTCGGCGCTGCCGCTAGTCTCTTCAGGCGGCTTCTTCTCCACTCCCCGTCCCCCGCTCTTGTCCATACCACCAGCACCCGCGCCGTTGGGTTCTTCGACAAGCACGGGCCTGTCCCAGGTGGTGGTTTTGTCGCGGTTGTTGCGGTAGTAGACTTCCAAAACTTATTACTACCGGAGTAGACAATAATCAGCTTGGTCTCAGATAGTAGGCACCTGGTCATACTCAAGAAGATAACGACAGCGGTGTTTGTGAAAGACAAACACCCATACACGGCGATATCATGCCAGACTATTGTCACATCAGTTCATTAGTCTGCGCAAGTGTTCAACCTCCATCGATCTAAATTCACTTTTTCTGGCCCTGTCATTTTCATTCACATAGTCCACCTTGCCCGACAGGGTCTCAAATGCTGATGATCTGGAGCCACAGTGGTCAGAGGGACGAGAGTGGGTGTCTTCTCGAGAGTGTATGCCTTAAAGTGGGTGTGTTCTCGAGAGTGAATGCCTTATCTTCTCTCCGCTCTCTTCTCTCGCCTTTCGCCGGTGGGGTCCCCACGACAACCTCAACCGCGATTGTTTTTTAAAAGAAGCTACCCGTGCATCCGGTTGCTGTGTAGGGAAGATGGGCATGACCATGGTGTTTGCTGCAGTTCCTATGTGACAGCTTCCGGGGATTCAGAGCGGCGAGGAGGGTGCTTTTTTTATGCTCTCTTCCGCCTCCATTCTGAAGCCTGTCGGGTCTGGCTCACTCTCTCTCTTGGCCTCGCTCTTTTTTCGTACTATTTTATTTGTTTCATCATGCTTTGTTTTTGAGGTCCCCCGCCCACCCATCGCGTAGCGGTGCGCATCTAACACGGACGGCAGGGTTGTTGAGGTGCAGTACATGAAGTTCGTCCGTGGTCGTTTTAGTCTGTCTGGTCACGTGCTTTTTTTTGTTGTCACTAAATAGCTTCCGCCCGACATCAGACGGCTCGACGGGTTTTACTGTCAAATAAATGCGCACCAAAACTTAACAAATCCCGAAGCAGATATCGCACGACTTCGAATTGGGTGTTTTCTAAATGGTAGTGCGTACCATTGGGACGTTCAATCGTCCGAGACTGCTACTGTACAACAGTTTCGTTCCGTCTGGTAGTTGTGTTTTTGGTAGCAGAGACACGTGAGGATACGGCGGAGGCTTTGTGCCGTGCGAATCGTGTGGTACGGGGGAAGTCTCACTCCGTAGGTCACAAAAAATATTAATCAAGACAATTCCGAAGAAAACAAAAAAATGAGTTTGCAAGTTTGTTGTCGAAAACCCTCGTGCTGGTCCTTGGGTGCTTGGTTTGTGGTTCTACTGTAATCCGTCCGTTATGTTTCTTGTACGGAAGTCTGGGTTTCCACATGTCCTCGATCCATACCGCGAAAACCCCGCGGCCACAAAAGCGAAAAAATCAGCTTCAGACAGGCAACGCCGACGATACTCATGGCGTTGATTTATCACAATGAACGAACACACGCGCGCGAATATCAGGTACATCAGTACTGCGGTACTCCATCTAATCCTGTTCGCACGTTCTCAAGCGGCGCCTGCATGCAGTGTCGTGTCTGTTGCCCTCTCGTCTTTCCCCCACAGGTCGTTAACTTCGGAGTTTTGGTCTCCTTCCAGACTGCTGTGAACCACAGGATTTGTTTTGTTTTTTTCTCCTTCCAGGCTGTTGCAACCAATCCACCACGAACGATGACGTGCCTTTGCTGTCTCAGGTGGCCCGTTTTGTGTTGTCTTGTGTTGTCTTTCTCCATGTCTTTCTCTTCATAATTTCCCTCTGTGCTCTCTTTTCCAGTCTGTGGGTACTTCCCCAACGTTTAAGAGGTGAGCGGAGTGTCCTAGATTATCTATCTGTCGTTGATTTCTATTGACTTGTGGACTCTCTCGGGTTCATGTTATTTTCGTATACCGTTTTTTGGTAAAGTTACCCTGTGACCACGGGAATCGATCACGTCAAGTGTTAGACTATTAATACGGACAGAAGAGGTACTGTGTAGAGACAACGGAAAGGTTTTTGGTGTGAAATCGACAACAAGACTGTGCTACTGTGGACCATAGCCACTGCTGTAGACAGATATGCATGTCCCTTTTGGGCGACACAAGGAAGGCAGAGCAAAATCTCGAAAGACTCAACCTCCCCAACCTCCTCAGGACAGGACTTAACGTGCACACAAACCATTTAAAAAGTTGCAAAAGCTTGAAGTCGCACAAATTTCCCTCTTGGAGAATTTTCATCTGACGGAACATACAAAGAGTGCCAACCATGGTAGGTACAATCTCGATATTCATGTCCCATTGCAACAACCAATCTGGGTAAAACTCAAACTCCAGATCTGAGGCTTGAGTATTTGTTTTCAGACACAATAACAACAGCATGTACGCACAAGGTCAACAATACACGCACACTAAGGCGCACGACATAAAATAGCACACACATCACATGCAGGTAGTAGTAGTTGCCTCGTTTTGTTTGCCGGAGGATGGACGGACATACAATAGGATCGCAAGAAAGTCTATGTCAATGTGCAGTATCACCCAACGACCGTGCGTTCTCTTACATATGGTTCTAGCCCAACGACCGTGCGTTCTCTTACATATGGTTCTAGCAGTTTGTGTGATATAATAAGTAGAATACGCGGAGGGGAGAGCCTTGTCCCTCTTATTGTAGGCGCTCTGGCCAGGATTTTCACGAAAGAAAAATGAAAAGAAATCAAGGCTCGTCTCGGGGAATTTTCCGGCGGTAGCATACATCCCCGCGGGAGTTCCACCGGCTCTCTCTACTGGGAGGTTGGATGATGGTACCCTCTTCTTGTCCCATCTGGGATTCTCTCTTCTCCCGAACATAGTGCAAATCTTCCGAGGCTATGTACGGTCTGTTTGTGACTAGGGGTCTGACCGGATATGTCACACAACGTACTTAACCCTTACCCACGGCCAACGCAGGGCCGGGTGGCCAAGAACTGGGCGAAAACGCGACTGCACCGTGTTCTCGGAATGCGGAACAGAGAGAGCGTGCTGGAGAGGAATCCATCGCTCAAACCGATGTTCAACCAATCAGAGGGCATAACAGCCCGTAGATGGGAAGAGTCAACAAGACCTGTCGATGCAGCGCACATTGGGTAGCAGTAGTTACACGGTGGGAAGCCGCCCTTTGGATATCTGCATGTCTAAGCTATGGTAGATTAGAGTTTCTATCTGTCTGGTTACATGTTGGCAGGAGAGAAAGATAGGTGCAGAGAGAGAGAGACTCGTGTGAAATAATACACTGTTTACCAGACCAAGGAGGTGAATCGACCAGTCCCCCGAGGCCACGGGGGGAGGATTCTGGTCCTCTAGGCCCTGCTTGACTTCAAGCGTGTCTGCAGTTATCGATAACTCCGGCTGACCGACCAGGGTCGGGCAGCGTCAAAAGGGAGCTGAGGCGACTGATGTAGACCGGAAAGACGCTGTTCAAAGCCGACTCGAGCCGCTTCGAAAACCCGAGTGCTGGACGTGTTTTCGCGACTCTTCTGGTGCGTCCAAGAAGGGCCCGGCTGCTGTCCTGAGCAAAGCAGTTGTGGCAGGCCTTCCCACTTGAGCCGTCTCTTGCCTAAAATCCCCATCAATTGTCCCCTCGATACGAGGGGACATTTAATAGGGATTAAAGACAGCAACTGGCGGGAGCGCGGTAAACGGGGCACGAAAAGGAGGTTTTCAAGATATTTCTCTAGAGGGAAAGCGAGACCTTCTAACTCAAGCCCTGGGTTGCTCGGTGCCTCCTATCAACGGTGGGTTAGGTACTTCTTCCGCGCTTGCCCCTAGTAGCGCTTTCCACCCGAGGGTACACAGATGCGGCGCAACTTCGCTGTTGAACCCGACGCGTAATCGCCCCGCGATTCGACCTGTTCATTACCTTCAACTCCTCGACTCTACAAAGCATCCATACTAGACTAGAGTCGTCCCTGTGTACCCTGGCACCCCCCTGGTCGAGTAGTGCAAAGGAGGAGACAATCATGCCATTCTTCGCGAGGTAAAGCAGGTGAAGAAGATGGGGACAAAAAGTGTCCCCAAAAGGTGATCCAGCCCGAAAGGGGTTAAGGCGCAAAAAAGCCAGCCCACGCCCTGCAGAACTGTCCGTTGCAGCGGTTCCCAGCCAAAGCCTCTACCCCGCATGGGAGGCATTTCCGCGGCGCCGACGACGCCCGTGGATACAACAGCGGCAGCAACGACCACCGCCGCAGCAACAGCACCGCACCCAGAGGAACGTGCAGCAGCATCAGTGACTTCACGGCCAACAGCCTACGCAGCAGCTTTCTTCAGGAGGGGGACATGGCTCCGGGGGGGCATCGTCTACCAACTTTCACCAACGCCATGTCGGTGGTAGGGCTGTTCTTGCCCGATAATCCCCGGGAGAGGCAGCTCCGATGTCTTTTCTGCCCCCGGACTCGTCTCCGTCAGCTGCCACTGCACCTGCACGCCGACCGAGGGTGTGTGGGTGAAACCCGGCCCTGAGGGATAGTTCGTGCCAGTGTTTCGTGTAGTTCAGCCCGGAGGTATGTTTGGGTTCGATTCTGAAGGTAACGCGGTTGATTCGCTGGAAAAGGGTGCCGCGTGTGCTTGTCGGTGCCTGGTGCTGCCGATATGACTGCTATAGACGCTGTTGCGATTCTGGGTTCTGGCTGGGGGCTCACCACCATATCAGGAGATATCGCGAGTAGGCTGCAAGCTGCTTTTCCGGATGTTCAGGTCGTGGAGGGCAAGAAAAACCCAGGAAGCTGAAAGTAGCGGACGGTCGCGTCCTCGCGGTCACACAGAAGACCTGCCCCGTGCGTATTGCTTTACACACCAGTTGGGAGTTGGTGTCGGTGGACCCGTTCTCGTTTACCGCCATGTCTAGTAATGATGGGGTGGTCATTCTCACCTGATGCTGAAGTTGTTGGGTATCGACGTGGACGAGAGCTTAGGGGCCTGTGCGTGATCGCGCGCTAGCGTCGTGGATGTTGATACTGCGGTCTACTAACAATGCCGCCGACTTTCGCTTGCGGTTGATGTTCTGTAG